CCGATGAGATTCCACATAACACCAATCTTACTACAGCTGCATTGGTTACCAATTGAGCACCGGATCACTTTCAAAGTGATGGTACTCACCTTTAAGGCCTTGCATGGTCTGGGGCCGATGTATCTGAGGGACCGCCTCACCCCCTACCAACCCCAGAGATCCCTCCGTTCTGAGGACCAAGATCTATTGGAAGTCCCCAGTGTCAAGACCTTGCGTCTAACAGCAACCAGACGCAGAGCCTTCACAGCAGTGGCACCATCACTCTGGAATACTCTGCCACCTGAAGTCCATGCCTTGCGGGACTTACCAGCTTTCCACAGGGCATGTAAAACATGCCTGTTTCGACAGGCTTTTAATGTTTGATAGTGTTGTTTTTAAATTGTTTTAAATTGCTTTTAAATTTTGTTAGATTTTAGCTATTCTTGTAAGCTGCTCCGAGCCCCAGGGGAGTGGCGGCATATAAGTTTAAATAAATAAATAAATAAATAAAATTGGTGGAGTTCAGAATGCTCTTTGATTGTAGGTGAACTATACATCCCAGTAACTACAACTCGCATATGTCAAAGTCTATTTTCCCCCCAAGAGCACCTCAAGAGCGCCCCTGGGCAAAATCAAATATACTGCAAATGCTTACTTTGCGTAATGGGTTGAGCCGCCCCTGTACATTCTAAGCATTGCTATATGCAATAGCTGCATACACTATGACAGTAATTGTGTCATTGGGAAACAAAATTAATAATGTTTTGCAGCAAATTTTCATTTGTAATCACTGTCTAATGCTTTGTGGATTAAAGTCCAACAATAGTCACCCAACATAGATGGATTCCACTTTCCCTGATACCATTTCTCCATCTTGGCAATGTCCCGATAAAATTTTTCACCATGTTTGTCATTCACAGCACTCAGGTTGCCTGGAAAAATGTTCAAGTGGGAATGAAAAAAGTGTATCTTCAGTAATATGTTTCACTTCATTGATTTGTATATCTGAAGCAGACTTTCAACCTGTTAGACGTAATATGGTGCTTTATAGTTGCCTAGAAAGTTACAAACAACATTAACTGCTCTGCACCCTATTCGAAGACCATCAAAGTAGCTGTCCTTCATCACATCTCGGATTTTTGGGTGAATGAAAACACCTTCTTTTATCTTCACATCACTTATGCATGGACACATCTGCAACAAATAAATTAAGGCTTCACTTTGCTTGTTCATTGTCTTAATGAAGTTTTTCATTAGCCTGAGTTTGATGTGTAAAGGTGGAAGAAATATCATCTTTGGGTCAACTAATGGGTCATGTGCAACATTCTTCTGCTCTGGAAGCAATTTATTGCGGGGAGGCCAGTCTTTCTGATATAATGTAAATCTCTTGCTCGACTGTCCCACTCATAAAGGATTTTTTTAAAGAATTGTAATTTAGATTTCTACTGACATTACTTTCATAAGGTTTTTTGTTTTTTTTTTTTTGGACGGGTGGAAGAAATAAATAATTTAGAAATGTTTCCTGGAATTGCTATTTTTGCCTGGCTGATGAATCCCATTCCCTGACGATCATGACTCAACCATGGAGACTGAGGCCCCTTCCACAAAGCTGTATAAAATCCACATTGCACTGAATTATGTGGCAGTGTGGGCTCAGATATCCCAATTCAAAGCATGTATTGTGGATTAGCTGCCTTGATATTCTGGGTTATATGACTTTGTGGAAGGGGCCCGAAAAGCACAATTTGTTTGGATGTCTACATTCATCTCACTGTATGTCTGGTCAAATAGGGTTATGGTGTTTTGATCATTACTTGAATTGAAATTATAGCTCAAAGAATATGACAGTATACCTAACAAGAAATCTATCATCTATCTGTATCCTGATATTGTGTGTGTGTGTGCATGCGCACGCACCTTCAAGCTACTTGTTGGCTTATGGCAACTCCATGAATTCCATAGTTTTTTTAGGCAAGGAATACTCAGATATGGTTTTGTCAGTTCCTTCGTATGAAATATAGCCTAGTATATATTGGCAGTCTCCCATACAAGAACTAACCAGGGCTGACCCTGCTTAACTTCCAAGATCAGATGGGATCTGGTGCCTTTAGGATATTTAGACTGCAGCCTGATATTACAGCTTCAAAAAAAAAAGGATGATAGTGGAAGAGGATAGTGGAATTCATTGTTGGCATTCCTGAACTTTAATTCTATGTGAAGTCCATACAACAAAGCAAAACCTGCATCAACCTATCCCCTCAAATATACTAGCTGCCATGGATATTGCAGAAGCCACAAGCACCCTTGTCTTTCAGTGCACACCACAAATGCATTCTTGTGATCCTACACGCAGACAAGATAGGAGCTGCAGGCAATCTCAAAACAAATAGACTAGAAGCTATCAGCAATATGTGGTTCTCTAATATTTTCCTTCATTTCCACATAGATCAGTAAAAAAGGATAATAAACAGTGGGCTTGATAAGTCTTCCATCAGTCCTGTATATTTCATTGTTGTAAATCAATATGTCCTATCAACAATCAGAACAAACTTCAGTGCCTCTCAGCATAGAGACCCTATTCATACTTCCTTTCTCCGCCTATTTCTGCAGGCAGTGGTAGGGTTACTTGTGAAGTTGAAGATTTGATCCTCTTCCTATCCACCCAGGGAAGCAACCTGCCAAAGTAGTCCTCCCACATAGCCACACTTGTTGTGTATTCTGAAAGCAATTCCCTTGCTCCAGTGGTTCAAATTACCATGGGACTGTCTGCTTCTGGCACTGACTGTATCTCATATAGTTTCCTCTCTGGGCCCTTCCACACAGCCCTATATCCCAAAATATCAAGGCAGAAAATCCCACATTATCTGAATGTGGACTCAGATAACTCAGCTCATATCAGATATTGTAGGATTTTTTGCCTTGATATTCTGGGATATCTAAATTGGTGTTAACTAAACTGTCTACTTTCAGTTTTTGATTTGGAATTAGTTACTTGTAGCATGACTTAAAATGAGTTGAACAGCAGCACTAGTGCCATACAAGTATGTTATAAAAATTGAATTAAGAAGTGGGTCTCCAAATGTACTAAAGATGGATCACAAGTCATTTGTAGAATATTGCTGACCAAAAAGTACACCATATTATTCTAAGTATTTGAATTTGGTGTCAACATTTGATGTTTGATAAAGTACTGATAGTTGATACATGATAGCAGGCCCATAGCCAGGATTTTTGGTTTTTTTTGGGGGGGTGAGTTGCGGGGGGGGCTGAGTCTGAGTGAAAGAGGGTCTACCCTAGCAAACCTTTTGTATCATTACCCCAATACCCCCATGCATATGGGATATATTGAGCATGGTGATCAGATCATGATATGAATAAACATAACAGTTTAAATAATGTACCAGTAAGGCCTTATCGCAGACCACCATGAGAATTTCGGGGGGGGGGGCTGAAGCCCCCCAAGCCCCCCCCCCCCCCCCCCCCCGGCTACATGCCTGCATGATAGTACACTATTTTGTATGTGACAACTCAAGTTGTATTTAATATCTAAGGTCCCACCTACACTGTCATATAATCCAGTTTCTGCATCCAGATTACTTGCTTTCAGGTGGCTTATATGTCAGTGTAGACTCGCATAATCCAGTTCAAAGCAAATAATCTGGATTCAAAAACTGGATTATATGGCAGTGTAGATCCATGGGAGGGTAATAACTAAAGCTGCTTTAGCACTTTGACAGTTATTAATATTCTGGTTCTATATTTAGATTTTGACCTTTACATTTCATTGCTAGCATATATACTTTTCAAAAAATTTAAATATTTACATTCTTGTCTCAGGCATGAGGAAACTCTATTGAAATCAGCTGGATGTACTACTAAAGAAATACAATTAAGATTTGGTCCAAAGTGAGCAAATATCCATAAGGCACCCTCCCACAGAACAAAAAGGTCAAAAAGGGAATGACAGTCCACATTCTTATCAGTCTTTTATTGGCTTGTTATAAAAATATAAAATTGAGGATGGGGGACTTGCTACTTGCCCTTTTACATTAAGGATTAGAGGCATGTTTATAACCAACAAAGGGAGGCTTTAACATTTTATGAAGACTGTTCAATCAGCATAAGAGAAAAAGGAGAGGAAAATTATAATCTTTTTCTCCCTTCTCAATTCTGGTAAAAATGCCATTGTGCTCATATGCCAGTTTTAAAATTCTTCACAATTAAATAGCCCTGGTCCAAAAATAGTATTTGCAAGATATCTGACAAACTTTGGTTCAGTCTCTCAGTGTTTGCATTGATGGAACCCACATTTATTAAAGACAACTGTAACAAATAGGACAGAAGAAGTTCCACATGGCCATATAACCCCGAATATCAAAGCAGATAATTCACAATCTCAGTTTTGAACTGGGCTATCGGAAGGCCCTTCCAGACAGGCACTGTATCCCAAGATCTAATCCTAGGTTTTCTGCTTTAAACTAGATTATGTGAGTCCGCACTGTCAGATAATCTGGGATAAACAGAAAACCTGGGTTCAGATAATGGGATATAAGGTCTTTCTGGAAGAGCCCGGAGTCCACACTGCCATATAATTAGGTTCAATGTGGATTTTATACAGCTGTGTGGAAGGGACCTTTGTGACACTTTCTTGATGGAAAATATTTTGGTTTAGATCCAAGTACAGACTGGGCCTACCTTATCCGAAATTCCAAAATCTTCCAGAATTCGAAATGGTCCTAATGGGTGCCTGGGATAGTGATACTTTTCCTTTCTGTTGGTCCAGTACACAAACATTGTGTCACACACAAAATTATTAAAACAATGTGTATAAAATTGCCGACTATGGCCCCTTTTACACTGCCATATAATCCAGATGATCAAAGTAGATAATCAACATTATCTTCTTTGAARTGGATTATATGAATCTACACTGCCATGTAATCCAGATGATCAAAGTAGATAATCCACATTATCTACTTTGAACTGGGTGAATCTACATTGCCATGTAATACAGATTTTTTTTTGTCGTGTCAGGAACAACCTGAGAAACTGCAAGTCGCTTCTGGTGTGAGAGAATTGGCCGTCTGCAAGGACATTGCCCAGGGGACGCCCGGATGATTTGATGTTTTTATCATCCTTGTGGGAGGCTTCTCTCATGTCCCCGCATGAGGAGCTGGAGCTGATAGAGGGAGCTCATCCACCTCTCCCTGGATTCGAACCTGTGACCTGTCGGTCTTCAGTCCTGCCGGCACAGGTGTTTAATCTGTAATCCAGATAATCTGTAATCCAGATTATCAAAGTAGAAAATCCACATTATCTGCTTTGACCTGGATTATACGAGTCTACACTGCAATATAGTCCAGTTCAAAGCAATTGGTCTTGATTTTATTTGGCAGTGTAGAAGGGGCCTATATATTTAGTCTGTTTAGACTGGGGTTCCATCCACAAGATATCTTACTATGTCAATTTCTGCTATCACAGGTTTTGCAAAACCATGGGGAAAATATCAGAAATCCCAAACACTTCTGGTCCCAAGCATTTCAAATAAGGGATGCCCAATCTGTATTTCATTTCAATGTTAATTTGAGTTAAACTCACGTGAAATAAAGGAAAATAGTACCAACTGGCTGTAATAGAAGCTAAGGGCATTATTGTCTATTATTGTCGTTGCTGTTCATAGTCTTGGATAGAGAGGAGGTGCCACTTAGATTTCTCTGCACCTCCTTCGAAGGTCATCATTGGGGGTGCCCTTCGGTTTGGTCCATCCAAAGGCGACCCCTTTGCTGGTTCTCTGCCTGATTTGCGTGTCCAGTCAATCAAACGCAAGTCCGCCAATCCGGCTCCTGCCTCACCCGCGTGGGCGGGACTGCGCGGCGAAGACGCGGGGAAAGGGGTCGTCGCGTGGCCCCCGCTGGACTGCGCAGACTCGCGGCAGTAGTAGCAGCTTCTGTCCTCCCCTGTTGGCCCCAGCGAGGAAGGGGAAGCTCCCCCGGCTCCTTCCAACCTCCGAAGCAAATGTCTCCTTCGCCTTGCTAGGCGCTCTTGGCCGCCTTTCACCCTTCTAAGATGAGGAGGCTGGAACTGAAAGTCCGTGGAGCTCGGCCAGGGCGTCGGAGGGAGCCTTGGACCCCGAGCTGGCGGCTTGCTTTCGATCCCCGGCTGCTGAGGAGGGAGACACAAGGCAGGAATTAGATACGTCGGCTGATAGCCCTAGAAAGGCTGTGTGGCCATGTTCCAGAAGCATTCTCCCCTGACATTTCGCCCACATCTATGGCAGGCATCCTCAGAGGTTGGGAGGTCTGTTGGAAACTAAGCAAGTGAGGTTTACCTATCTGAAATATCCAAGATGGGAGGAAGAACTCAGGAAGCATACAACTCCACTGTTGCGCCAGCCACACTGATGCCAGTTTGCTACTGGGCACAATTCAAAGTGCTGGCTTTAGCCTATAAAGCCCTAAACCAGCATTTCTCAACCTGGGGGTCGGGATCCCTGAGGGGGTCGTGAGGGGGTGTCAGAGGCAGGGGTGGCTCATCCATTACGCGAAGTAAGCAGTCACAGAACACTTTTTTTTGCCAAGGGCACAGAGGCGCCTCTGTAAATGCCTCTCAACCACCACTTGAGGAACACCCCCTCAGCTCACAACAGCCCTAGCAGTCTGGAGGGAGCCTCAGCTTTCTTGCCTTGCTGCCGGGCGATCCTCTTCCCAAAGGGGCCGTGCCCTTGAGCCTTGCCTAGCCCCTCTCGTTCCTGCTCCACCTGGCCACAGGGTGCGTGAGCAGAGCCGGCGCTCAATCGTTCTCCGCGTTCAATCCCTTCCCCATGACTGGCTCCCTTTCCCGATCCCCTGGCACTCCACCCGCATCCTCTCCTCTCCCCAATCCACGGGTGGGCACGGGGCAGAGCTGCTGTGCCTGACCCGCTTCGGGTCCGTAGGCGTGTGTGAAGACCCCAGTGTGCACACCAAAAGTCGCCTCTTCTCCTGACTTTCTCTTCAGCCATTGGGACCAAGAGAGAGAGAGAGCCCCTCCGGCTGGAGGTATCTCCCACCTCCGCTCCCTCCTTTGTTTTTGCGCCTACCTTCAGGAAAGGTGGGCATCTCCACCTCTCTCTCTCTTGGTCCCAATGGCTGAGGAGAAAGTCAGGAGAAGAGGTGACTTTTGGTGCACACGCCGGGGTCTTCAGGCACGCCTCCGGACCCAAAGCGGGCCAGGCAAGGGAGCAAGTGTGGCAAGTGTAGTTACTGGGATGTATAGTTCACCTACAATCAAAGAGCATTCTGAACTCCACCAATGATGGAATTGAACCAAATATGGCACACAGAACTCCCACGACAAACAGAAAATATATATCAATGATTGGTTGGGGGGGGGGGGGCGCCAAAATACTGTTTGCTTACCGTTGAAAATTACCTAGAGCCGCCTCTGGTCAGAGGGATGACAAAAGAATGTTTGCCCATGCCTGATATATATACACTATATATATTATATAATATGCAATATATAAACATTTATTGAGGCTCCACAAGAAACTTTTGTTTCAAAAAGGGCTCCACAGCTGAAAAGGTTTGAGACCCTTTATCTAAAGTATGGCCATTGTCTTGCCTTTCTGTTGGTCATGGAGGTTCTGTGTGCTCTTTGATTGCAGGTGAACTACAAATCCCAGCAACTACAACTCCCAAATGTCAAGGTCTATTTTCCCCAAATTCCATCAGTGTTCACATTTGGGCATATTGAGTATTTGTGCCAAGTTTGGTCCAGATCTATCATTGTTGGAGTCCACAGGACTCTCTGGATTTTGTTTGGGGGGGGGGCTGATTTGGTTGGGGGGGGCTGAGTTTGGTTGGGGGGGCTGAGTCTGAGTGAAAGAGGGTCTACCCTAGCAAACCTTTTGTATCATTACCCCAATACCCCCATGCATATGGGATATATTGAGTATGGTGATCAGATCATGATATGAATAAACATAACAGTTTAAATAATGTACCAATAAGGCCTTCTCGTGGACCACCATGAGAATTTCGGGGGTGGGGGGGAAGGGCTCAAGCCCACCACCACTGAGAAGGCTCTCTGAATGTAGGTGAACTACAACTCCAAAACTCAAGGTCAATGCCCACCAAACCCTGTATTTTCTGTTGGTCATGGGAGTTCTGTGTGCCAAGTTTGGTTCAATTCAATTATTGGTGGAATTCAGGGTGCTCTTTGGTTATGGGTGAACTATAAATCCCAGAAACTACAACTCCCAAATGACAAAATCAAAGAACCAATGACAACACTATATACACCTGTGCTTAATTATATATGTTCACATCATAAACACATAACTTTGTTGCTACACATAATTTATTATTACAGCTTCACACTTGTTTCATTAACGTTTCTAATTAGAAGTAGATATTTATTGTGGAAGTGATTAATTCAAAGGACCATATATTTCAGCACATATATGAACTAGTATCTCAACCAATGCAGCAGAGGGCCCTTCCACACAGGCCCTATATCCCAGGATCTGATCCAAGGTTTTCCGTTTATCCCAGATTATCTGGCAGCGTGGACTCATATAATCCAGTTTATAGTAGAAAACCTGGGATCAGATCCTGGGATATAGGGCCTGTCTGGAAGGGCCCAGAGGAACAACAGGTGTGATGAGTCTACATTTTTGCCTTCCTTGACAGAACTGCTTTTGGGAAAAATAAGCTCCAACTGCTAGTTTTCCTTGGAATTGCACTTCTGAAGGCCACACCACTCTAGGCTCATATATTGATTCTGAAAAGCTACTTGTGCCCAAACACACATGCATACCTGTCTCAGGTGGGGCATAGAGCAAGTGGGAGATCATACAAGAACCAGAGAAGGGACAGCAGCAGAGCTTACTTTCTAGTTCTCTGCCAGCAGGAAATCTAAGTGGAATTGTGTAAAAACTGTTCTGAGTTTCTGCCTTTCCTTTTGCTTTTTCCTTTGGTATTGTGTCTTTTGCAGTATGCACCCTTTTCTGATTAACAATACCTCAAATAATTAGTCAGCCAACAAACCATCCGCTCTAATTTACATTTAAAAGGAAATATTTTAATATGGGTTCAATTAGCCAATAAGTGTGGGTCTGAACATCCCCTAGGGTAATGTACTTAGCATCAGCATGCTGTAATGGTTTCAGTGTTGGAGACCAGGGTTTTGAATCTCTGGTCATCTATGGAAACCCTGCAGGAGACCATGGACAAGCTTCACCTCAATAAATCTTTCCAAGAAAAGCCTAGGAGAGGACTGTCATAAATCAAGAGTTGACTTGGAGCCACTTAACAACAAACTACATCGAAGTTTGAATGGGATAAAAACAATCTAATATTGGTTCTCAAAGTGTGCTCCCAAGAGCCCTTGGGGCTCTGAAGCATACTGAGAAGCTCTGCATTTCCCTCCTCCTCTCTCTTTCAAGCTTTCCTTCCTCTTTCCTGCTCCTTCCCCTCCCCTACTTCCTTAGCCACTGAAAGCCTTTTTTTTTTCCTCACCTCCCTTGCTACCCAGATCCTTTCCCCATTACCCTCCTTGCTTCCAAAACCCTGTTTCCCTCCCACTGTTCAGGGGATGCTATGATTGTGCTTTTCCTGCATGGCAGAAGGGAGTTGAACTAGAGGTTCTGCTGTTATTATTATTATTATTATTATTATTTGATACACAGTAAGATTAGTACACAGCAAACACATTTTTTGTCGTGTCAGGAGCAACTTAAGAAACTGCAAGTCGCTTCTGGTGTGAGAGAATTGGCTGTCTGCAAGAACGTTGCCCAGGGGATGCCCAGATTTTTTTGATGTTTTATCATCTTTGTGGGAAGCTTCTCTCATGTACCCACATAAGGAGCTGGAGCTGATAGAGGGAGCTCATCCGTGCTCTCCCCGCATTCGAACCTGCGACCTGTCAGTCTTCAATTCTGCCAACACAGGGGTTTAACCAATGTGCCACTGGGGGCTCCACACAGAAAACACATGCTGGCTGTTGTATTGGATCACACGGACACTTCCTAAGTGTCTAGGACTTTGTGATGTATTGGTGAATAATGTGTTCAGATCCAAGTAGGGTGGCCTTTTGCAGCTGACAGATGGTAATTTTGTCAGCACTGATTGTTTTTAAGTGCTAGCCAAGGTCTTTAGGCACTGCACCCAGTGTGCCAATCACTATTGGGACTACCTTTATTAGCTTGTGCCAGAGTCTTTGCAGTTCCCAGGTGTCTAGGACTATGTGGTGTATTGGTGAATAATGCATGCAGATCCGAGTAGGGTGGCCTTTTGCAGCTGACAGTAATTTTGTCAGCACCGATTGTTTTTAAGTGCTAGCTAAGGTCTTTAGGCACTGCACCCAGTGTGCGAATCATCACTGGAATCACTTTTACTAGTTTTTGCCAGAGTCTTTGCAGTTCAATCTTTAAATCCTCGTATCATGTCAGCTTTTCTAGTTGCTTCTCATCAATTCTGCTGACACATCATCATCATTATTATTATTATTATTATTATTATTATTATTATTATTATTATTACAAATGTTGAATGGCTTTCATTGTGCTTTTCCTACATGGCAGAAGGGGTTATGGCCATTGTCTTGCCTTTATATGACATTTTGAAAATGCCCCCATTTGCCATGTGGAGCAATATTTTGTGAGCTAGCCTAATGAAAGGAAAGATTGTTTACAGATATTCTGCTGAAAACTTAACCAACTATGGGTTCATCTATCGTGTAAAATTAATGCAGTTCGGAACCACAAATAAAATCATGGGGGTTGTGGTTTTAAAAGATGTTTAGTCTTCTTTGCCAAAGAGTCCTGGTGCCTCACCAAACTACAATTCCAGCAGACACTGGGTGGGGCTATCTGTACAAGTGCTTTGTTTGTGCTTTTCTTGCATGGCAGGGATTGGACTAGATGGCCCTTGCATCTCTTCTAGCTCTATCATTATATGACCATTCCTTTCCCAAACCAAACAAAGTGTAGAGACCTGAAGCGGGTCATGGTCACTGCTGCCTGGACTCAGAAATAGCGCTTATCTTTAGATCCGAGCCACCTGGGTTTGCGGGTGACAACCTGGTGGGTGGTGAGGGTCTGAAATGAATTAAATACTTGTCTTAACCTTATGCTTTGCAAAAACACTGTGCCTGAAAAGGCTGCCTTTAAAATAATTATA